GGCCCGAGGGGGGGCCTGGGGGCCCCCCCCCCCCCCCCCCCCCTCCTGTCAGTGCGCGGCGCGGACTGAGTCTTCCCGCCAGCGGCCGCCGCGACGGGAACCCTCGCACCCCCGGCCGTATCCCTCCGCCGCGTCAAAACGGAGGACGGTTACCGTGCAGACGGCCCCGGTGCCGCCCGCCGCCCTCACCCGCTGACAGCCGCCACGGCTGAGGGGACACACGGAGCTCGGCCGGCTGGGACAGGAGCCCCTCGGCGACCGGACTCTTTTAGCCTTCGCTGACGCCGGCTTTGGCGGAAGGAGAAAAGGGCCGCCCCGCCTCCGAAGTCGCGGGAAGGGGTTGTTTTTCGAAAAGGCGCGCGTCAGCCCGCGATTGGTGAAAGGGCGGTCACGTGTACCGCGCGGCGGACCCAATCAGGAGCGCGGAGGCGGTTTGATTTCAAATGGCGGGAGGCGGGCGGGCCCGGCCTGAGGTACCGTCCCCGGGAGCCGTTCCTCGCCTCAGGGCGGCTCCGCTCCTCCCGCCTAGAACCGCCGGTTGGCAGCCTTTCCCCTTCCCTCACGGCTGTCAACCGCCTTCTGCCGGAGGAGAGACACCCCCACACCCACAAACACCCCCCCACACGGGCGAAGGTTTGGGCCGGTACCTGGACGGGTTTCTTCAGCGTCTCTGTGAGGGAGAGGGATTCACGGGGGACTCGGCTGGGTGCCAAATAACACACCTCTTCAGCTACTGATGTTGCTTGAGCCTCATGAGAAGTCCTCGGGTCAGTAAAAAAAGGTCCAGAATCAGTTTATAGTGCTTCGGCTCAACGTAGGCTTTCTAAACTCATTTCAGCGTCTGTATCTTCCTTCTGCACCGGTCTTTTGGTAATGAAAATGTTATTAATTAAAATATCACTAAACATAAAAATAAGGGGCTTTAAAGGAGGGGGGGGGGAAGGGAGCAAGGATGGGAGGGAGAAAGCAGCAGTATTAAAAATAAAAACTAAAAATAAAAACTAAAAAACTAAAATTAAAAACTAAAATTAAAAACTAGCATTTTAAGTCCATTTTAATCAGCCATTTAGTTACCTTCATTTATCTACAAAAACTGATTCCCATCTCTGCTCCCTGACAGGAATCTACTACTAAGACATGAATTTGAGAATCTGTAAGAGAAACCAAGGATCAAGACAAACACTGTTTGTGCTACTCTGTATTTAAAGACAGAAGAAAAACAAACAAACAAAAACAACACACCTAACAAGTAACCAGAATTTAGTTCAGTCACACAAAGGCAGAAAGAGCTGTTCCTAGACAAATCCAGTATCATTGACATTCTCATCCTTGATCAGGTTTATATTTTGAAATTGCTATCAAGTGTTTGTATAAATTTAAAAATTAATCTCCAATCAATGAGATAATCTCCTGGTATTAAAAATGAGGAGAAGCCATAATTTGAAAATAGCCAAGGAGAGGACAGTACCTTTGAATGTAATCTCAGTTTAGAAACATTTTCCAGATTGGAAAGGCTTTTAACCATAGCCCTCTCCAGAATACACAAGATAACTCTTTAAAAATTTGTGCAGAAAAATGCAGATTACGCTGAGACTATGCAACTTCTGTCTTTGTGTTCAGTTCTTCTTGTAGTTTGAACATTTGCACCAGAGGTCTGAAATTATGAAATATAGGCCCCAAACACCTAATTTTAGTCTCCAGAGTCTCCTCTATGTGATGCACAATATTAATATTAAGTTTTAAAAGCAAGATACCTATTTGCTTTCTCATTCTTTTTGATGTCCAAAGGAGTCATGAAAGCTTTTGGACTTCTAGAAAAGAGATTGGAAGGTGCTGGTTCTGCCTCCATGAAACAGTGTAGGAAAGTGCTTAAAAACAAAGGGAACAGATTTGACAGGCAGCGCATGAAGATTCAGGCAAATTAATGCTCTTCCCCTTCCTGGAAGGCCAATATTGAGGGGGACAGGGAGCAAGACTGTTCTTTTGGCAGCAGTTTGCTCAGACTGCCTGATACCTCATTTTCAGGCCATGGTTCCACAAAAATCTAAGCCAAATTAATCTCTGTTGCTGGAGAAGTAAATAGAAAAGAAATTTAAAATAAGCACAAAACCCAAGTACTTCCAGAAATTCTGAATAATTTGAAAAAAAGGAAGTGCAGTTTACACTTACAGATTATATTTAAAATATACCCTGCATAACATACACAAGTAAGTTTGAATTCCTGATATTTCCCCCCTCTATTTCCTAGCCACCAAACATAAACTGGTAACTAACACTTAAACCTGGTTTTTATCTTTTAAGACGACCACAGGAAAAACATCCTGAAGGAGCAGTGTGGGTTCCAACTTGCACAGTATTTTTGATATGCACCATGTTATCAGACACATAAAAGCAAAACATTTCAGTTACCAGACTCCTTCAAAAAGCAAACCTTATTTTTATCATAACTAATTGACAGCAAAGACAGCCTCGCTCAATTCCTTCCTTTCTACCCCAACATCACAGTATCCCCTCCGAGATGGCTGGGGAAATTCCAAGGGAAAATAGACAGACTGTTGACTGATGCCTGATTTTTTTTGTTGTTTTTATAATAAATATGCATTACTGAGATACGGAATCTGGCGACCTTAATTCCAAGTTAAAGTTCTATACATGCATGGGTGGGGGAAAGAGATGCAAAGGGAGAAAGGCCTTTTCCAAGGTCATCCAGTCTTTTGTGCTTCAGGGGATAAAATTCTACTATTCAGATCTTTCACAAAGCAGAACACTCCTTTTGATATTACTACTATTTTATTTAATTATTTACTTTGCCTCAAATACTATTTTATGTGGTATGATGACTTTAGGGTACTTCAGATACGATACAGTTAGATGTAAGCAGCTTTTTAAATGTTATTTTTTTCCTTTGAATTAAATTACTCTCAAGTGTATTTTATAAGCTTTGGTGGGGTTTTAATTTAGTTCAGCATATTAAGGCATGACCTTATTATTATACCTTCAGCTTGTCACGATAGCTTTTTGCTACTGGACAATCTTGTATTTAGATGTAAAACATTCAAACAAAATCAGAATTCTAACACTAGGTATCTCTGCCAATAAAGATATTAAAGTCAGATCCTTCCTGGGGGTTTTTACAAGTGCAGTTATACCTGAACAATTATCTAAACCAAACAGTTTATACCAGTAAAACTCTTTAATTCATTACAGTCTCTACAAGCCCATATCTGATCAAACTGAGCTGGACAGCAAAAGAGCAATTTTGCTGCTATCGTTACATGGGCATTGGCATGTTGACAAGGGCTTCGGTGATTTAAAAAAAAAAAAAAATCTGTGGTATGCCAATAATTGTATATTCTAGCATGACATACAGTGGTTTATTAGCGCACTTACCGCACAGAATCCTGTCACATCCTTTGTGATAAATGTCTCTGCAAGCACAGCAGTGCTTACAGGAAAACACAAATTATAA